AGATGTTTGCTCAGACCGTACTAGCATCGGTTGGTCATCACTATCCTTCTCCGAATTTCAAAACTGATGTCATTCGTTTTGTATCTGTAGGTTTTCTCGCCGTTTACTGCTAGACCCACTTTGGCAGACTCCTTCTCAAATTGTTCAGAGTTGGCTGTTACCGCTCTCAATGTTCGACCCATTATGTCGATGTCATCGGCGTAGGCGAGTAACATGTGTTGTTTGGTGTACGGAGTGCCATTTCTCTTCACTTTTGCCTCTCATATGACCTTTTCCAGCAGGATGTTAAAAAGGTCACACGTCAAATTATCACCTTGTCTGAATCCTCGTTCGGTATTAAAGGCTCCGATAGGTCCTTTCCGACTTTAAATGCTGATCTTGTCCTAGTTAACGTTATCCTATATGGCTTTATACAACTCTGAACGGATGGGGCTGTCGAATGCGGCTTTATAGTCGACGAATAGGTGGAATGTGTCGATGTGTTTTTCGCGGGTTTTTTTCCAGGATTTGGCGAAGAGTAAAAATCTGGTCAATGGTGGATTCGCCAGGTTTGAAGCCGCATTGGTATGGTCCAATGATGTCACTGATCATTGGCTTCAGTCGTTCACACAGTACGCTGGATAGCACTTTATATGCGATGGGAAGGAGACATATTCCACTATAGTTGGCACATATCGTCTTGTCTCCTTTTTTGTGCACGGGACACAGGGTGCTGAGGTTCCAATGATTGGGCATGCATTCTTCTAGCCAAATTGTAGTAATTAGCTGGTTCATGCTCCTTACCAACATCTGACCATCAGTCTTGAATAGTTCGGCTTGTAACCTATCGGCATCTGCTGCTTTATTATTCTTCAGTAGATTGATTGCTATTCTGATCTCATCTTGGCTAAGTGGTATACACTCTATACCGTCATCTATTATTGGTTCTGGGGTATCCTCTTCACCGCTACTATTTGATACCAGAAGTTTTTCAAAGTGCTCTTTCCAGATCCTCAGCACGTTGTCTGTACCTGTCACCAGGTTTCCTTCTTCATATCTGCACCAAAGCCTTCGGTTTGGTGTTTTATTCGTTGGTAAAATTTTCGGACTTCATTCTGACTCCTGTACATCTCGATTTGCTCACGTTTTTCTTGTTCTTTCTTTTTTTCTGAAAATGCGTTTCTCCTTTTCTCCCGATAGTTCTCCATCGCTTTACGTATTGCTAATGTCTGCAGGATTGCCCTATACGCTGCGTTTTTTCATATCAGTAGCATTACGACACTCCTGATCGTACTACGGATGTCTTGAGGGTGGTATTTGGTACCCAAGTGTTGTTTTTGCTACAGTTTGTAGGGAGTGAACAATTATCTGCCATTGTGCTTCTATATTAATATCGGGGCAAGGGGTGCTTTCGGCAAGTAGTTGGGTATGTTGAGCGGAGTAGACTTCTGCTATCTGTTGTGTTTGCAGCATTTCGAAGTCAAATTTCCGTGTTACATTAGATCGCACATTAGCTGCTACATTAAGACGGGTGCGTACCTTGGCTTCCACAAGGTAATGGTCCGAATCGATATTCGCTCCTCGGATCGATCGGACGTCTAAAACACTGGATGAATGCCTTCCGTCTATCGCAACATGATAGACGAAATATCTATAATTTTTTCATTTGATTGCTAACGGATTAGACGTGTTAAGTTCCAAACCGATGCACAAGATTAGTGTAGGGTATTATTGAGGCCTCCCGTGCAGGATTGACCTTTTCTATAATAAAATTTTTGTCGGAGTTGTCGAGTGTTAGTTGTGCTTACAATTTCATGCGCTTGCACACTGTAACCTTATATGACATTGACGTCACCGAATGATGTAAACTAAATGCAATCTCCTGAAATTATCAACATTCATATGTTTTGTAAGTGCCACAAGAATAGTCAGTTGATTGATTTTTCTTTTTTATGTTTACCCTAGATTTTTTCCTTCACATCTTCAGTTTCTTCCTTTTAGCCGTTCATGGATGCTACTGAACTATTTTGTGGGGATGTCGACGACGATGATGATTGAATTGTGGTTTTAATGGTTGGCGTTTAAAAAATCAAAAATTCAACACCATCACTCAATGTCAACTACGAATCCAGTTAAAAACATTTACGAAAAGGAAAGGGTGGAATGTAACGAAACCCTTCTGGAAAAAGAAAAACAATAAAAAATATTCAATAACAAAGATTTTCATTTATTTTTTGTTATATAAATAAAGCATACTATATAAAAATTCTATTTTTGGGAGGTCACTCTGCACTGACCACCATCCAAGGTATAGCGCCCACTAATGGCAATAATTTATATTCAGTCTAGTATATTGGTATTTATTTTATGATTAAACCATAAATTCAACACCAAATCGGAAGTTACTTAAATCACTAATAACTTTACCCAAAAACAAAATTACCCTGTTCGGACTGCTGCTATTCAAGCGGAAACGGATGTGCAATTCATTTTGTGAATAAAATATTAAAACGTTCTATGCTCATTCTAGGAAACCCATATAAACACAATTACAATAACAACTAATGCGATTGCTGTTTTGTGTTGTTTTTGTAAATAATACACGTTCCACCGTTTTTATCCTGTACGATTTTAGATTTTTATTCATTTATTATAAAAATTATAACGGATGTGATTTATTCCAGTATTATATGCTGTATTGTATTCACAATTGAAAAACGAAAAACAAGTTGGGTGACAAGTACAAAAACAAAAACAATAAATGAAAAAAAAATCGAAATGGTTTGGTTTTAATCAATTTTACCAATGTTTAGTTGTAATAAATTTTATTGTTTTGATTTAAACGGTCAAACGAAAAAAAAACCTATTGAAATTTATTGCATTCATATGTGATTTATTTATTTAAAACATTTCAATTTATATTTCTGCCATCTTCTACAAAAACAGATATGCTATTGTGCTATAATGTAATAAGTCGTAATTGGAGATGACATAGATCACCCCCATTTGAAGCCTCTTTCGGTTTATGTGGGTATATACATACCTTGCTTTACAATTTATATGTTCATCGTAAAGTGTAATATGTCTAGGTTTTTTTATAACCTCAGCTTTATGGATAATGAGGGTATATACACTTTGATACGGCGAAAATGTGCCTCATCGAAATATTTGCTTTAGACCCAAATCTTTGAACCAAATTCCTTTTCAGACAATTTGGAGTCGATTTAAACTTTGCACAGCGTAATATTTCCACCAAACTTAGTTCACGTTTGAAGATGGGGAATATTGGTCCACTCATTTTGGCACCTCCCCCACAATGGGTCGAAATTGTGCTAAAAAAATTAATCCGAAAGGTGGGTACCACTCCCATTAAGGGGAAGGCGAATGAAATGTCCGATTTGAACCAAACATTATGTATCTGTATTATCTGTATGTAGTCTATATCAAGTGCGAAGTTGGGACACGTCTGCCCTCTCCTCTTGTACCTCCCCCAAAAAAGGTCTATATTATATAAACTTGTATATTTTATTTAAATTAAATCTGAAACCTATTTGATAAGAACATGTACTTTGTGTCTCAATTCTTTCCTTCAGGATGCCTAATTGCAGGCCGATATACTTCATTATCGCCAGGCTCGAGTTTTTTTTATCACGATTTACTTAGAAAGCGGAATGATTATAACCGATGGCTAAATCGTCTTAGAATTCAATAATTTGTAGCGTAAAACTGAGTACGACTATCCCTTATACTATGGTAGAATATGCCTACATGGTGACAACCCCTAGACACTGAACTAATCAGCTAACTATTTTAATATAAGAATGGTGTTATATGGGAACTGCCCCTAAAAAGGGGAGAATATTAATACTTTTTGGTAGGAAGATTTTTTACCATATGCGACTACAAAATACCAAATTACAGCGAATTCTGTTGAAAAACGCGTTATATGGGGGCTAACCGAAAAAATTGGCCTAAATTTATAATTTTTAGTGAAGAAATTTGGTACCTAATAAGAACTCATTGTACACTGATAAAAAAATTGAGTATTCCGTACTTAAATGAAGCCGGAGCGGTGTCAAAAGTAAGGTAAGTGCGGTTTTTCTTATACCAAGATGAAAAAAATTGATTTAAGTACGGTTTTTTCTAGTGCGGATTTCTTAATTTTAGCACCATTTGTGCCGGATTGTGTTTGCTTTAAGCTCAGAAGAGTCTTGATTTGAGAAAATTGGAATTGATTTAAGTTAATTTTAGTTTCGATCTGAGTACGAAATATACTTGGTAAAAGATCGCTAGGATTGATTTAATGCATAATAAAACTTGATTCAAGTGCAACGTGGGCTTGATTTGAGCATTATATAAATCAGAATTATCTGACAATATTCTTGTTTCAAGAATTTTGTTCCTGATTAAAAGGTTAAATTGAGAGTACCACAGAGTGAAATGATAAAAAAAATATATTTCCAAACTTGATTTAAGCCAAACTCTCACTTGATCTAATTCAAAAATAAAATTGATTTAAGAAATGCCAGTGATTGAAATGATCCCAAAGTCATTTAAATTGAGTTTTTCGAGCTGAATTTAAGCTATTTTCCGTGTTTTATATGAAATAAAACAATGGTTGATTTTCGTAAAATATAGTTTATTTTTAAGAGAAATTATAAAGTAATACAAAAAATAAATGAAAAATAATTTTCAAACCTATATAATACAAAAAAAAAAAAAAAAAACTCTTCATGTTAACCTAGGTGTTTTGTGTCCTTTACTTTGGAAATTTGCTGCTTGCATGCTTCATTGGTGACGTTTCTTTCGTAATATGGCAGAATTTTTCCTTTGAAATTTTGCCACTTGGAAAACAACATATGACTCTTGCCTGGATACAAAAGTTCGAAATCAATTTGGATCTGAAAAGATAATACGAAATTTAAAATCTATGGTGGTAAATTTATCAAATGAGACTGGATGTTAAATAATTCCTAATTTTTAGCAAATAATTAGTTAAGTTAATGCTTACCAAATCAGCAGTTTTCCATTGAACTTTTTTCCTGTCAAGCAATTGTCGACTTTGGATTGCACAGAAATTGTTTCGTCATTGAAACCAAACTATAAAGTAATATTGAAAAATCAATTTAATTCGCTAAATCGTATATTCATTAAATTTTATTACCTGTTATTTTTTCCAATTGAAAAGTTTTTCTCGAAATTCTATTCGAAGACCAAGAGGAGGTATTGCTTATTTTATATCTTCTGTTTGCATGTATTGCAAACTTCTATACGGCACTTGAGCAGCTAAATAAATAAGGATAAAAAGTTACTGTTAAACCATAAAGATAATATGGAAATATTGTAATTGAAAAATAATATAAAATACAACTAATGTAAAGCGCAACGACAAATAACAATATCAACAAAATTCTGCATTTTTCTACATAACACAAAAATAATGAATACACAAAAAACTCTGCATGACTAACGGTATTTCACAACTCAGAACTGAAAAACATAGTAAGCGACGAGCAGGAATACGAATAAATTCAATGAGAACAGAATAGAGCATAAAATTAGGATTTGCTTCAACACTCTCTCTCCCTCAAAAAAATACACAATGCAACAGACAATAACAGAGAAATTTTGGTTTGCTTTCAACTCGCTCTCTCCACTTAGATTAAGTGTGTTGTCTTAAACGTTTTGAAGATCGCGCTTTTGTTGCATGGAAATATGTGTATACCAAGTAGGTGTTTGTGTGTATACACATATATATTTTATACAAACAGTTTGCGGAAATATACCGTTATTAAAATGTGTATGTATAAATAGTCAATATATTTGGAGTAAAATATTACATATGTATAACAAAAAAACAAAGCACAAGCGCACACTTTTATAAACACTTCAAAATATTCGTATATATATTTTATTTTTTCGCCACCTTTTTTTTTATACTCACCTTTCAAATAATCAAAGACTGATTCCAATTGAAACTCCTGGAGTAATTTGCGCAGACGGGAGTCGTCGGCCACAGGAGGCGTCTCTTCCACAGTTGAAAAAACACTATCACTCATTTCTTGGCACACAGAAAAACAATCAATTCTATCAACCATCTACTGGCACGCGCAAATCAAACTAATACTGTTTTTCCAAAATGTTATGTATCAAAGCTAGAAATGAACAAACACAACTAAGAAAAAAATACAGCCGAGAGAGTTTTTGTATTCCATCATTTTCTTCTCTCACAGCTTGTTATAAGAATTTTCTTCTTACTTCACATCACATTCCGCTTACTTTTCATTAATATCTGGGAGAGTAAATTTGTTATGCGCTCATTGTTTTTACTCTCAAAGCTTGTGTTAAGAATTTTCTTTTTAATTCAAGTTATATATGACTTACTTTTCATTATCAGAAATTTTTTCTTGAATTAAATACAAATCTTAACTTAATATGAGGTTTTTTTACGTAAGTCAAGAGATCTATTCTTATTCCAATAATGTCCGTACTTTATTTTATAAAACTATCAAACTTTGTACTTACTTTAAGAATAACTAAGTAAGAATTTTACTTAATTTTTTAAGTACGATTTTAGTAAAAACTGAGTGTATTCGGCTTAAATTTGAAATGTCATTTTTCTATCAGTGTACCAAATTTCCGCGAATTTGGTTAAAAACGCGCTTAAAACCGCCAAAATACCTCAAATTTGGGGTACCGTTATGTGGGGGATAACAGAGAAAGTGGACCGATATTTATAATTTTTTGTGGAGACATTTGGTACCCGAAAAAACCCTATGTACCAAATTTCAGCGAATTCTGTTGAAAAGCGTGCTTATATGGGGCTATGCCTAAACGTGGACCGATACATATATATTTTGGACCTGCCTACAGACAAAAGACAACTCTATGCAAAATTTCAGCACCCTATCTCAATTCCTTCAGAAGATAGCTTGATTACGAAAGAAGGGCGGACATGTCTAGATCGTCTTAGAATTTCTCCCTGATCATGAATATATATACTTTATAGGGTCGGAAATGAATATTTCGATGAGTTTCAAACGGAATGACAACAATAATATACCCTCCATACTATGATGGAGGGTATAAAAAATATAAATGATGTTGACTTGCCAAAGAGGTCAGCTGAAAATGTGCACCAAATCTAAACTTATTTAAAATTTGATGCTATTCTTTCATCCAATAAAATTAAAAAAAAATGTAAAAATTATGGCGTTTGACTTTGTTGCAGTATTTTTATCCCACCCTGTACACACCATTACTGAACCAAATGCAAGATGTTCAAAATTTTACTTAATATTATTCTGATTTGAATCTCAAAGAAATATCAATGCTGTTAGTTTGATTGTTTTTGAAAAGATTCAAACGGAATGACATATACATGCATTCCATTCAATTTTTGACAACATGTTTCCTGGCGATTTGTCATTGACATTTAAAAAAGACTTTTTAATGTAACTTCATGAAACCTAATTCCGAATTTGAAGTAGGCACTGAAAGTAAAATAATTCCGTTCGTCTAAGATAAGCTAACAAAATTAAACTATTATCTGGCGCTTATATCATAAATCTTTCAATAAACGTTTCAATAAGCTTATCAAAATTCTCTATATTTAATAAATTAATCAATATTATTTATGTAATTTATTGTTTAGTCTACAGGTGACAACATACACATTTTGTTTTTGCTCTTTAAATTTTGGACATGCTAGATACCTGACAGTAGTTCACCTTAAATGAATGAATGCTTGTCATAAATTTTATTCAATCACCACCATCGAAAAACAAACTGTCAATGAGCCTAAGGTTGAGTAATTTTTCATCAAACTAATTGTTAATTATATTTGTGTCATTCGTAAATTTTAAATAAAATCTTATCAAACATATAGTGGTGTATATATAAATTTATTTGTATATCAATTACTATCTTTGATCGTGATCAGTGTTGACAATTTTGCAGTTTTGGTACTAGATTTAGCAATTTTTAAATCCGATCAGCACCAACAAATAATGTAATAGCATAGACTTTTTTTGTAGTTTTTAATTTTACAATTTACAATTTTTTAAACTCGTTAACAACTCTGAGGAATGCCCTAAACAAGTAAATGAAGCATAACTAGAGATGTGCAGTGGGTAAGTACCCAAAGGGTAAATACCCGGTAAATTGGGTAAATACCCATTTGTGGGTATTTATTTGGGTATTTACTATATTGAATCGGTAATATAACATCTTGCACCCTATTTCCGGGTTTCTGTTATCAAATCGATTTAGAATGGATAGTTTTACGATACTTTAAAGACGTGTAAATGACAGGTATTTACCCAAGTTTTTACCCAAAAATTGGGTATAAACTCATTAACTGCCGAACCTTGGCATAGGCGGCTAAAATTTTGCACACATGTGTCTAATGTCAAATATAGAAATCCAGCATGGGGTCCCTGGGTCCATGTTTTGATATAGCCCCCATATAACCATATCTCCCGATTTAAGGCATTTTTTGTCTATTAGACACATTTTACAACCAAATTGGCTGTAATTTGGCACAGAGTGTTCTTTTTGAGTACAAAATCTCCATGGAAAATGTTATGTATGTAGGTCCACGTTTACTGGTAGCCCCCATACAAAGGTACCCCTATTTTGAGTTTTTACCCAAAAATTGGGTATAAACTCATTATGCAAAATGTTGGCCGCCTATGTCAAGTGGTTCGGCAGTTAATGAGTTTATACCCAATTTTTTGGTAAATACCCAAAATAAGGGTACCTTTGTATGGGGGCTACCAGTAAACGTGGACCTACATATATACATTTTTGCATGGACATTTGTTACCCAAAAAAGAACACTCTGTGCCAAATTACAGCCAATTTGGTTGTAAAATGTGTCTAATAGACAAACAATATCTTAAATCGGGAGATACAGTTATATGGGGGTTATATCAAAACATGGACCCAGGACCCAATTAAAAACATGTGTGCAAAATTTTGGCCGCCTATGTCAAGTGGTTCGGCAGTTAATGAGTTTATACCCAACTCGGGTATTTACCCAAGTTTTTATCCACGTCCTTAAAGTATCGTACAACTATCCATTCTAAATCGATTTGATAACAGAAACCCGGAAATAGGGTGTAAGATGTATTACCGAGTCAATATAGTAAATAGCCAAATAAATACCCGCAAATGGGTATTTACCCACCCCTTGGGTATTTACCGGTAAATACCATCTCTAAGCATAACTACAGGTTGGAAAAATTGTATAAAATTTGGGAAATACATGATGTGTGAACTTTTAATATATATAGAAACATGAACTGATTTTGAAATATCAGACCATAGACTAAGTTCCATACCTGCTGCTAAATTTCATGAAGGATTTCACGAGGAGTCTATGTTTGTTCTACATAGACTCCTCGGTGCGCCATTTATATAAAATCGGACGAAAATATATATGGGAGCTATATCTAAATCTGAACCTATTTCAACAAAACTTCACGGACGAAAACATGCAGTAATTTCAGTATGCTGTGCAAAATTTTGTCTCAATCGTATAAACATTAACAGTATAGTGCACCATTTACATATAATCGGTCGAAACTATATATGGAAGCTATATTTAAATCTGAACCGTTTTCAACAAAACGTAGCATGCATCTATCTGGACCTAATTCAGTACTCTGTGCAAAATTTTGTCTCAATCGGGCCAAAATTGTTCCAACGGGCATATGTGATTCATTTACATAATATCGAACGAAACTGTATATGGGAGCTATATCTAAATCCGAACCGATTTCAACAAAACTTGGCATATTGCAATTTAGACCTAATTCAGTACTCTGTGCAAAATTTTGCCTCAATCGAAAAAATATTGGGAGTTTTGTGCACCATTTAGATAAAATCGGACGGAACTATAAATGGGAGCTATATCTAAATCTCCAAATAAGTGTAATGTGCCAAATTTCATCCAATATTGCGAAGACTACACCAATATATATTTTTTAAGGAACTTCAATTGCTTGTTCAATTGATATACTGTTGTAAACTGGGACGAATCTATATATGATAGCTACATATAATACAATATAATAGACACATCCTCCTTTTAAGAATATGCATAGAATCACTTTCTAAGCCGATTTATTCATGTCTGTATGCTCCCATTACTCTCTCATTTCATTTAAAAAATATATATATTTTTTTAAATTGGCTCAAACTTATACACAGTTTTCAATAAATAAGTAGGTGGTATTAAGAGTTGGAATTTCTTTATTTCATTTTTTTTAAATCTTTCATAAAAATTTTTGTTTTATTTTATACAAATGGCGATCCTAATTATGCCCGGTTGACAGGAATATGCAGTTAGCCAGCAGAATGACATATGCATGTCTGGCTTTATATATATGAAAAGATCACATAATTAACACTAGAACGCCGAAGGCGGTCATTTTGACCGCTTTCCAATTTCAAGTACAAATGCAACTGTGCATTTAATGACACTTTTTTTTAAATATGGTAATTTTTTTACAATAAACGTAATTCTATGAGGTACAAAAAGTCACCATATTTAAAAAAAAGGTGTCATTAAATGCACAGTTGCTTTTGTACTTGAAATTGGAAAGCGGTCAAAATGACCGCCTTCGGCGTTCTAGTGTTAATTATGTGATCTTTTCATATATATAAAGCCAGACATACATATGTCATTCTGCTGGCTAACTGCATATTCCTGTCAACCGGGCATAATTAGGATCGCCATTTGTATAAAATAAAACAAAAATTTTTATGAAAGATTTAAAAAAAAAATGAAATAAAAAAATTCCAACTCTTAATACCACCTACTTATTTATTGAAAATTGTGTATAAGTTTGAGCCAATTTAAAAAAATATATATATTTTTTTTAAATGAAATGAGAGAGTAATGGGAGCATACAGACATGAATAAATCAGCTTAGAAAGTGATTCTATGCATATTCTTAAAAGGAGCATGTGTCTATTATATTGTATTATATGTAGCTATCATATATAGATTCGTCCCAGTTTACAACAGTATATCAATTGAACAAGCAATTGAAGTTCCTTAAAAAATATATATTGGTGAAGT